TGGGAGGGGGTCCCTGGGGAAGCCGCAGCCTTTGAGGAGCTAGCAGGCTTGTCCTTGCTCAGGAATGGCCAGGTCGGAGCCTGCCACCTGGAGCTCCGGAGCCTAAAATGTCACACTCCTCCCTCCCAACATCCCCTCCCCTTCACCAACTGCGCAACCCGGGGTGCCCCTTTCACATTGTAATTTGCAAGAATAACCCCACTAGGTATCAGAACACAACTCCACAGACTGTGGGGTCATTGGTGTCCTGGGGCTGTGCAACCGGGTGGCCCTGCCTGGGACTCCCCACCAGCCACAGCTCAGGCACTGCTGAGTGTCCCTCCCTCACGCAGACCATGAGCTCCTGAGGGCAGGATGTGTCTAGCTTAGAGCCCAGCACACAGTAGGTGCTCAATGCATGCTCTTCAGAGTTTAAGTTGCTCTTTAATTACTTCCTGGGCAAAAGCCCAGCCTCCGCCCGCTCCTGAGGTGCCTGTGGGCACCCTGGTGGTAGCCAGGGCCTCTCCCACTCCCGGTCCCCAGCTCTAGTTCTCACTTGGGATGGCAGATACACTGTGGTCACTCTCTGGTGGCTTTAGGAGGAAGGCCAAACCCCGGACAGCAACTTGAGCCCTGCAGAGGACAGGAAGAGTTGTGACAAAGCCGGCCAGGAGCCCTTCTCAGGATGGTAGGTGGTCTCCAGAAGGGCACGTGGGCTGGCTTGGGGAGGAGGCTACCAGGGGGAGCAGGGGTGGGGAGCAAGGATGGGAGCCTGGCCTCCCACAGGTAGAAAGGCAACTCCCTGAAGCTTTGCTGAAGAAAGGAGACATGCTTTAGCCGATCAACACACTCTGTTCGCCTCTGCCTCAGAGGTGACCCAGGCCAGAGGCTCCCAACCTGCTTGGGAGCAGCCAGAGTGAGATCCCATTGGAATCTCCAAAATATGCTGTGGGGCTGCTCTGGTTGAAGTTGGATGGGACCCCCAAACCAGACTGGTCCTCCCTCTCAACTTCCCCATGTGCCTTCTCCACATTCGGTCTCTGGGCCTCTTGGGGAACCTCGAGGCATAGTTTGAAAACCCCTGGACTTGGCCAGGCCCCTCGTTTCACCTGGGAAGGCTGAGGTCCAGACACGGAAAGGGCTGGGCCTGGGTCACACAGGCAACAAGTAGGAGGCTAGAACTCGGCCTCCCAATACCTAGGCCCGCTGGGGTCCTCACTGGCCAGTCCTGAGGTGAGGAGAACAGGAAGGGTGGTGTGGGGTGGGGGGTTCCATCTGTCTGTCTTGGGTTTGGGGAGAGATTGGGAAAGAGGCACTTAGGAGGTGGGAGGTAGGGACAGAGAGAGGGTCCTTAAAACAGCAGCTGATGCCTAATGAGCTCTGAGTGCTCAGCCTGTGGGACCCCAGAGGCAATTCAGATTCTAGCCTTTGCAGCCAGGATAGCAAGTAACCAAATGACCAGGCAAGAACTGGCATTAGCACTGGGCCTGAAAGGCAGTGGGGCCACAGCTGCTGGGCATAGGCTGGGCTGTTCACACACCTTCTCGGGGAGGAGCTGCCGACTCCATAACAAGTGTCCCAGGTCCCCAGGGAGTAAATGCAGCGCCGGGAGCCTCTCCACCTTGCTCCTTGGACCGGTGGGACTGGGGCAGGGGAGGGAGGCAGCCAGCAGGGTTTGTGCACGTGGTGTGGTTGCTGTTTGTGGAAAGTCCTTCCTTTCATGGCAGGTGGTTCCCTCTCACGGGGAGGTGCTGCTGCTCTAGGCGGAGGCACAGAGACACCGGAAGGCACGAATGGCTTGAGCCCTTTCTTGGTTTTCTCTGGGCTGGGGTTGCTCTCCAGCCCTGTGGGATGCCCAAGCCAGTGCCTGGCTCATTCTGTGTCCCCATTTTACCCAGGTGGCTTCCACCTGGAGGTGTTGAGAATCTCCATGGGGATGGGAGTCTGGGGCCCCCCCATGGACCCTCCTGTCTTCTCCCCAGGAAGAGCCTGCAGCCAGCCCTGAGAGTGAGACGTTTCTGCAGGGAGCACAGACAACTGTTTCGATGGATCTGCACAGGCCTGCTCTGTACTGGTGAGCCTGGAGCCCAGCCCCACCAGGGACCCTCCTG